ACGCTGGAGTATAGACGCCACGAGAGAAGGCGAGGGAACGGTACCATTGCTCTTATTTTGGATGAATTTCTCCTCTCCTCTCAAGACATTCGGTACATTCTTATAATATCTACTCAATTTCATGCACGTATTTACATCCCATCGATATTTTGATTATACTTAATATCTTCTGTATTTCTAAAACTGAGGAAAATGTTACCAAAATATTTGGTTTGGCAGTTACTTCGCGGAGCTGTCAAAGGCTTTCAGATTGTTTAAGTAAAAGGTTTTGATTCTTTTATTAGAATTAGTTGATATTTCATTGTTCCCGACTCCATTCAAGTCCTATTTATTGTCATTTGTTGCTCATAGAGTGTGTAAACCTAAAATAAATAAAAATAGATTATAAAAAAAACTTGTCAAAACAATGATTTTATTTTTAACAGTTACTTCAGTCAATGTAGCAACGTGGTTATCACTATGGCATTTTCATATTCTGAAGGACGTTTCAACAGATAACGGTCTATTGGGATGGAATGCAAATAAAAACAGTTAATCCTTTTTATCTTAAAACGCTGCAAAATCTCATTCCATAACAGAGTTACTAAGAATAACTACAACAGACCAATCACTCATCTATGTGATAAATTCATTTTTTAATAAAATATACGTAATTCTATATGCGCAATTCGTATTTGCAAATGTATGTCAGTGTGCGTGCGTGCGTGCGTGTGTATTTGTCTGTGTGTGTTTGTCTGTGTGTGTGTGTGTGTGTGTGTGTGTGTGTGTGTGTGTGTGTGTGTGTGTGTGTGTGTGTGTGTGTGTGTGTGTGTGTGTGTGTGTGTGTGTGTGTGTGTGTGTGTGTGTGTGTGTGTGTGTGTGTGTGTGTGTGTGTGTGTGTGTGTGTGTGTGTTGTGTGTGTGTGTGTGTGTGTGTGTGTGTGTGTGTGTGTGTGTGTGTGTGTGTGTGTGTGTGTGTGTGTGTGTGTGTGTGTGTGTGTGTGTGTGGTGTGTGTGTGTGTGTGTGTGTGTGTGCGTGTGTATTTGCTTGTTGGTGTGTAAGTGCGTAGGTGTGAGTGAGTGAGTGAATGAGTGAGTGAGTGAGTTTGCGTGCGTGCGTGCGTGCGTGCTGTGTGTGTGTGTGTGTGTGTGTGTGTGTGTGTGTGTGTGTGTGTGTGTGTGTGTGTGTGTGTGTGTGGTGAGTGAGTGAGTGAGTGAGTGAGTGAGTGAGTGAGTGAGTGAGTGAGTGAGTGTTGTGTGCTTTGACTGAAAAAAACTCACAAAGTCCACTGTCTGATAAGGAGGAATTGCGCATTTCCATGCCAAGTAATAGGCACAGTTGAAAATCTATATTTATATAAAGATCATACATAAGGGATGTGCGTTCAAAACTGTTATATACACATATATGGATAAATATTCATATATATATATATATATATATATATATGTGTATGTATATATACGTATACATATATATGGATAATATAACATACATACACAACACGCACACACACACACACACACACAGACATATATATATATATATAATATATAAATAATATATATATATTAATAATAATATTATATAATATATATATAATATATATATATATATAACATATACTATATGACCATATATGTTATATAAACATATATATATATTATTTATGCTATTGTATATATATGTACATATATATCATATTCTATATATATAGTAAATTTACATTTATATATATAATATATATAATATAAATATGTGGTGTGTGGTGTGTGTGTGTGTGTGTGTTGTGTGTGTTGTGTGATAGTGTGTGTGTGTGTGTGTGGTGTGTACACAAATATATAATATATATAGTATACCTTACTAATTCCATACTACTCAGGAGAAAATCTATATATATACTATATATAGTATATCTATATACAATATTTTTTTTTTTGTCTCTAAACATGTACACTTAATAATGTATACATAAGTAGACACAGTCGACACGCTCGACCATCTACACACAATATACACACGCTCGCAGCACACAACATCACACGAAATCACAACACACACACGCACACACACATCATGTCACATACTTCCCATGTGTAAACCGTCGGGGTAACCGTTATATGCGGATAAATATAAGGTAAATTACTAAACTATGCATTATAGTTTTAGCGTGATCCCTACGGCTAATATATTACTAGTGGTGAGGCTCTCGAGCGCAAGAGGTACTAACTCTATATAGAGGTTATCATATGGCGTAGAGACGAGCTATTGATTATGAGTCGATGACAACATACAGCTCACTTTATATGGTGCACACCACTATATGAATGTGGTATGATAGTATGTTACGCGTATGTTGTGGTAATATTATCATGATATATGTACTACTACTATCATAGCAAGATATATATAGTGTATATACCTTATATGTACCAATACATATATATATATAAAGTATTTTTTATACATACATATCCCATTGACCTTGAGCCGTTGGAGTTTACACACAGAGGCGCATAAGGCATTACTCTAGGAGTGGGGTGTAACGGTGTGTTGTGGGATAATTACAAGCACACACACACAGTCACAAATTTTGAACACACACACACGACACACACACTATCAATCAATAGAATAAGTTCTCACACAACACACAGCACACACACACTACACATATATATATATATACGCCTACTAGTTATGCCTAGATGTCACTCACCTCATACATAACATACATACACACACAGCACACACTCACACACACACATCAACTAGGTGCGTTTTAGGATCTCGCAAACCATTGTATAATAGAGAACCTGTTATATATGATACATCCATGTGCGCACATATAATGATAACAATTAATCGAGTTAATTGGAAAGAAAGTGAAATAATGATGCTCTAGTGTGCGTATGACAGCACACACACAGCAGCATATAGTAATATGAGTACTAATGTATATATATATATATAATATGTTTCCTTAATATAATATACTAATATATATCAACACACACATTATATCACTCAACACACAACACCATACATATCATACATACATATATACTAATACTACTATTATAAATATTATATATATAATGATATAATACATTTAGTAGAATCACCACACAAAGAGTATCGCACACAACCACACAACACACTACACAGCACACATATAATATATTATATATATTATATATTATAGTAATAGTTATATATATATATATTATTTTATTATAATATTATATATCAGCTACATTATATACATATATTTATACTATATATATTACAATAATATACATATAAATTGATTAGCATAGTAATAATATGTATATATATAGTAATAATATCACTCAGTAATATAGCATATGTATAACACTAGTACCCATATAAAGTCTATATGGCACGCATATATGTATATGATGTGTACATAGGTAGTCAATATATAGTAACACACTCATATATTACATATTATATATACATATAGTAATACATATCACCTAGTATATGAGTAGTAAGGGCGGTAAAGACATATAGTAATTTATGACTCATTATATAGAGTCACATCTACATATATATAGTGATAGCATAACATACCACACACACACACACACACGCAGCACAGCACATCATCTCAATGAGATAAAATTAAGGAATATAGAAACTATATATATAGGTAGAACTAACCTCTTATACGTTATCGCGCTATATTATATCACACACACAACACAACAACACACACAACGCCACACGCCAGACACAGCACACACACACACACGCAAACAAAGTTCGGTAGTCCTAGATGAGATGCGTATTCTGAGCGAGTTTTTCGATAAGGAATATGTGTCCAGTAAACTCAAGCACACACACATATAATATATATCATTATTATATATATATATATATCTTGATATATATATATATATATATATATATAGTTGAATATATATGATAATGCTTTGACGCATGAGACGCAACAACACACGCACACAGCACACGCAACACAAGCATATACATACATATTACATATATACATAAATACACACGCACATATCTATGATCTCGTATAACGGATGCGCTAACGTACTAGCATGTTCGTGTGATTTGCAGTCGTACAGCGCTTGAAACTCGATGGATCTGGCTGAATGAAAATGGAAGGGCTCTACACATCTTTAATGCACACACACACAACAATCTGCCAGCTCTCACACAAGCGCATATTTACACACACACACACACATAATATAGTATAGTTAACTATTAGTATCCATTATATATTATATATATACACACACACTGCAGTTCACTAGATTATTCAGATATATGTCACACACAACACACACACACACACACAACACACATAGACACACAACACACATAAGTATATATAATATATATATATATATATCATATATATATATTATATTATGCATACATTTACAGCCACCACACACACACACACACACACGCAGCACACACAGCAATATATATGTCCTATTAGTACGCTATTATATATTGTACTTATATCAATATTATATACCCCATAATACTTATTACATATATAATACTATAAACGTAGTTATATATAAGTACATATATATTATTAGTCATATATATAGGACATATATTATATGTATATTTATAATTTATCATATATATATACTGTATATATGACTACATGATAAATATACATATATACATACATATATAAATTTAGATACTATACATATAATAGTATATAATACTACATTATACATATATATATGTATAGTAATATACATTATAATGTATAATATAGTACCCATATATACTCAACATAATATACATACATAATATTAGTATGTACTACTGTAATATGTATATTTTAGTATATATATGATAATATTATATTATATTAATATAAATAGTATATTATATTTATGTGCTCTAATGGTTTGTTAGAACCTTGGCTGATGAAAAAAATCAAGGAAATAAAATCCGCTGGCCGTGAAGTCAACGGAGGCCAATACAAACGTTGCTGA